TCCAACAATATGGCTTCCCCCAATAGGAAGTCCCAGCATGTTTTATAGGCATGAAATGAAATTAAGCCCCTCCCCCCCAAATTAAGGCCTATATTAAAACATGCAAAATGGGGGGAATGGTGGGGGGCTTGCCATTAGGAAGTACTTTTGTTGCACACCCGGATATGGTGCTGCCTGCGTTGACCCCGATACGAAGTGCCCCACCAACGCCGAGGTCAACATCCAAGCCATCGCCGCCCGCCCGCCTGAAGATGCAAGGGGGGGGAATTAAGTCACCCCCCGAAAAGATGGCCTAGCCATTTTTTCAGGGCTCAAAAAAAAATAAGACCCGGCCTTATTATATGAGAAACACGGTACGTACGACCACAGCTTGACGTACGACCCCAGCTGAGCCCAAAACTTCTGTTGAGACATTCGTTCAGTGAATTTTGCCCTTTCATTTTACGACCTTTCTTGCCACTGTTGTTAAGTGAATCACTGCAGTTAAGTTTGTAGCACGGTTGTTAAGAAAACCTGGCTTCCCCATTTGGTTGCTTTGTCAGAAGGTCACAAAAGGGGAACACGTGACCCTGGAGCACTGCAACCGTCATAAATATGGGTCAGTTGCCAAGTGGCTGAATTTTGATTACCTGACCATGGGAATGCAGAGGAATGATGGAGTCTGTCATCTGCACCTCTATCACTGTCTGGTTTGGTTCTGCAACCCAACAGGACGGACACAGTCTTCAGAGAGGAATTAGGACTGCAGAAAAAACAATGGCTACCAACCCGCCTTCCATGGAGGATCTGTATACTGCACGAGTCAAAAAGAGGGCTGTGAAAATATCTACAGACCCCTCACATCCCGGACATAAACTGTTTCATCTCCTTCCCTCAAAATGACGCTATAGAGCACTGCACACCAGAACAACTAGACACAAGAAGAGTTTTCCCCCGAACGCCATCACTCTGCTAAACAAATAATTCCCTCAACACTGTCCAACTATTTACACTATTTACACTATTACTATTTATCTTCTCATCACTCCTTATCACCCATCCCCTCCCACTTGTGACTATATGACTGTAACTTTGTTGCTTGTATCCTTACGATCTATATGGACTGTTTCTTAGTATGATTTGATTGCTTATTGTACCCTATGACTGTTATTAAGTGTTGGGCCTGATGATTCTTGACTCTTGACGAATGGATCTTTTCTTTTATGTACACTGAGAGCATTTGCACCAAGACAAATTCCTTGTGTGTCCAATCACACTTGGCCAATAAAGAATTCTGTTCTGTTCTATTCCATTCCTATTCCTATTCTATTCTAAAATGCCTAGCAGAATAAAAAAAAAAAACCTGTTCATCAGCTGGAAGAATGGAGAACTTTCTTGAAACAGGAGCTTTATATATGTATCAATAAAGTATATTAAATTTCCCTCTCATAATGTCCATAAAAGGTGACATTCCCCAAACAAGCTAGATCGTATCCCAGAATTTTCTTTGTGGTATCAATGGAAGGCAAGGGCAGCAAAGGCAGCAACAGAACAATCATAAAAACAGATATAGTGTATTTTTGGTAAAAAATAAGATACAGCTATCCGGAATATGATTTGCTCACTGTAAACTATCAAACATTATCTTCAGCAAGTTTAAGATACACAGCTTGGGTAATCCCACAAGAGTTTCCTAACTTACTTGGGGTATCCCATACTGACATTGGAATTTGTACCTTTGTCAAGATGTACTTTTTGGAATGGCTAAATGAAATAACTTTTAGGATTATTTCGCTTCACCTTCTTCTTGTCCAACATCATCATCATCATCTTCTTCTTAAAGGGTTAAAGAATGATTGTGACAAGCATCTCATATGATAAGAGCAGCCAACACAGAAGTAGAAGGATGTATGGCTTGGAATGGTAATAATAAACAGGAGGGTTTCTGGCAGTATCTTTTCCAATTAACATTAGTCCTCGGCTTATGACCATTCGAAGTTACAACACCACTGAAAACAGTGACTTGTGACCATTTTTCAGACTTAGGACCATTGCAGCATCCCCATGAGCACGTCAACAAAATCCAGACGCTTGGTTCAAATTTATGACTGCTGCAGTGTCCTGGGGGTCGTGTGATCCCCTTTTGCGACCTTCTGACAAGCAAAGTTAATCAGTCAGATTCACTTAATAACCGTGTGACTAATTTAATAACTGCAGTGATTCATTTAACATCTGTAGCAAGGTTGTAAAATGGGGCAAAACTCACTTAACTGTTTTACTTGGAACAAAACTGTGGGCTCAATTGTGGTCGTAAGTCAAGGACTACTGGTATTTTATTAAAAGCCATGTTGCTGTGACGTATGCCCTCATGAAACCTTACGCCGGTTAGTAAAACACACGTCTGTCGGAAAAGATGCTACCAGACTCCTTCTGATATTTATAAGGGCGAGTTGCTTTTAATACACTTGACCAGTTTGCTAATTTGTTTTCAAAAACCTCTGAGACAGATCAGCAAGTTTTAAAAGTAAAAGCGCATCAGCGGAATTTCTTAATGCGCAACTGTAGAACACTGTGTTCATACAACCTGGTTGGGAAAAGCAGGAGCAACATTTAAACGTCATGCCAAACTTAGTTTTAATGGCAGCATTTGCTGAAGCTTTGTTTAATGTAGTATTCTTTTGCAAAAATCTCAGCTCCCAAATTGCAGTAGAAATTAGAAGGTCTTTTCCACCCACGCCTGGCCGATAGGAAAAAAAAAACATTCTATAGTTCCAGAAGTCGCTATAAGAGTCTGCTGTATTGTTGGGTAGGAAACTTTGACTGCTGGAATCACCTGCCCCATTTGTAAATTTTAACCAGAAAATTAACTCTCTGTATAATTTAATGGTCTGATTGTAGGAAAGGCCTGTAATAATGGTATCACTATTATTTTCCTTTTTTAAAGCTGTACTATAAGAAATCCATAACTACAAGTGTTCCCCCCCCCTCCAGCCCATAGAGTGAAAGTTTTCCAGTTTTTAATTCATTTTTTTGGAGCATTGGAAGATGTTAAGGAGCAGCACTATCATAACTTGACTGATGCCAAAAGAATGCTGAATGCCTCTCATGGACGAGAGACCACCAAGAAATCTACAGAAGGCTACATTGAGAGGGTAAGAATCTGGGAAGAAAGTAGCACAGATGCCAAGAAAACTACACAGATGCACACATGAAGCTGCTAGGAGCCAAGTTCAACCTGAGAAACTTCTCATTCTTTTTTTTTTTTTAACAGGGCAACGAGTGCTTTCAGTCTTAGAAATTTTAGGCACCTATGTCAACAAGACAGACACAGACTTCAGAAGATAATTAGGACTGCAGAAAAAAACCATTACTACCAACCTGCTTTCAATCGAGGACCTGCATCCTGCACGAGTCAAAAAGAGGGCTGTGAAAATATTTACATCCCGGACATAAACTGTTTCAACTCCTTCCCCCAAAATGACACTATAGAGCACTGCATATCAGAACAACTAGACACACAAGGACAGTTTTTTCCCTGTCCAACTATTTACTAAGTCTGCATTACTATTATTAATTCTTCTCATCATTCCTATCACCCATCCCCTCCCACTTGTGACTGTATGACTGTAACTTTGTCGCTTGCATCCTAACTATTTTTATGGACTGTTTCCTAGTATGATTTGATTGCTTATTGTACCCTATGACTATCATTAAGTGTTGTACCTGAGGATTCTTGACTAATGTATCTTTTCTTTTTATGTACAACTGAGAGTATTTGCGCCAGGGCAAATTCCTTGTGTGTCTAATCACACTTGGCCAATAAAAGAATTCATCCACTCATTCATTTCAGTTCCTTAAGCCTCTTCTCACAAATGGGTCCAGGGTCAACCCTTCCAGAAGTCAGCCCTCAACATGCCATGCGAAGCTACAAAATAGGAAACACAGACAAACCCTTCCTATGACTATTGGGGGGAGGCAGGTATCCCCAGATAATCTCCTACCAAGAGGGGGTCAAGGTATTCTCCAAAGCCCCTGAAGAAGGCAGGACAAGAAGCAACAGATGGAAATTCATTAAGGAGAGAAGCAAACTGGAACTAAGGAGGAATTTCTTGACAGTGAGGACAGTCAACCAGTGGAACTGCTTCCCTCCAGAAGCTGTGGGTGCTCCGTCCCTGGAGGTTTTCAAGAAGAGATCAGACAACCATTTGTCCGGAAGGGAATGGGGTCTCCTGCTCAAACAGGGGGTTGGACTAGAAGACCTCCAAGGTCCCTTCCAATTCTCTGATTCTTTTATTCTGCATAGCTTGCCTCCAGGGGTGGGTGCTCCATCAGTGGAAGCTTTCAGAAAGAGACCCTGACAATCCTTTGTCTGAAACGATATCGTTTCTCCTGCTTGAGCAGGGAGGGTTGGACTAGAAGATCTTCAGGGTCCCTTCCAACTCTCTTGCTCTGAATAGCTTGCCTTCCAGAAGTTGTGAAGGCTCCATGACTGGAAGTTTTTTTTAAAGAAGAGACTGGACAAACCATATGTCTGGAATGGTATAGGGTCTCCTGCTTGAGCGGTGGGGAGGGGGTTGGACTAGATGACCTCCAAGGTCCCTTCCAGCTGTTATTCTGACCACCCAAGATGCTCTTTCTCATTATTGCCCCAACCTTTTCCAAAGCTTTCCCCCCCCTCCCCCGCCCCATAGTTCCAGTCTTCCACAATGGGGTGGGGGAGGAAAGAAGGATCTGGAATGGGGGGGAAAGACCCTCCCCCTTAAGCAATTCCTATGGGGAACCTGCACACACCCCAAAAAATAACCTCGGGGGGGGGGTGGCTTCTGCCAAAGCCGACCCCCTTGATTACTCCCCCCCCCTTGCAAAGATGACACGCTTCAAGGCTGAGGGGGCGAGGCCGCTCTCCCCCCAATAATTTAATGAGCCCCCCCTCCATCACCCCATGGCCTGGGAGAGGGGGGGGGGCCCCAAGACGGAAACCCCCCCTCCCCCCCCCACAACCCAGCCGCCTCCATACTCACAGAACTCGGCGATGTAGGAGGACACGACGTAGTTCTCCTCGCACCAGTCGAGGGTGGACGTCGGCGGGCCCCAGTAGCCGGTGCGGTCGCCGGCGGGAGCCATGGCCGGTCGGAGGGCCAAAAGTGAAGGAAAGGAAGCGCCTGCCGCCGCATCCGCTCTTTTTCGGGGCCCTCGGGCGAGCTGACCCCGCCTTCCCGCCGGCTTGAGGCGGGGCAGGGGCGGCGGCAGGGGCGGCGGGAGGCCCGCCTGCTAGGCCTGGCGGGCAGGGCCTCTACGTCACCATGGCGACCAAAGGTGAACCGCCCGCAAGGCTTGCTGGGCCGGGGCTTCTACGTTGCCACGGCGACCGGCGACGAATCGCCTTCAAGACTTGCCGGGCCCGGGGGTGGGGGGGGCTTCTACGTTGCCTCGGCGACGGCTCGCGAGGTTTTCAAGGGCCGTGTCTGGCCGTTGCTATGGCGACCGTCGGGCCTTCCGTCCCCGCTGGTCTCCACCCAGTGTTGGGCCTCACAGGCATCGCAAGATGCTCGCCCTCATGGAGATCGGGGAAAGGCTTGCAGAATGTTGGCTGGGGGATTCTGGAAGTCAAACTGGCTTAAAGTTGACAAGGGTGCCAAACAGTAATCTAGGTACCAATAAGAGGTGATTGTGAATAAAACATTATTTTATGGTCATATTTTGGGGGCAGGAGGAGAAAGAAATTGGTGATATATTTATAGATTCTAGATATATTACCAATTTCTTTTCCCCCAAAAAATATGACCATAAAATAAAGTTTTATTCAGGATAATTCAGGAGCAGGTGGGGAAATATGGAAAGGTAAGCCTCACATTTCAAGTAGCCATAAATGAATATACAGATAGTCCTCGATTTACAACATTCATTTATTTTTTTCGAACGTACAACGGCACTGAAAAAAGTGACATGACCATTTTTCAGACTTACGTCTGTTGCCGCATCCCCATGGTCACATAATCGAAATTCAGATGCATGGCTTATGTAATCAAAATTCAGGTCCCGGGCAACTGGCTCATATTTATGACGGTCGTGGTATCCTGGGGTCAGGTGATCCCCTTTTGCAACCTTCAGACAAGCAAAGCCAATGGGGAAGCCAGATTCACTTAACAACGGCATTCCTGACTTATCAGCTGCAGTGATTCGCTTAACAGCTGTGGCAAGGAAGGTCGTAAAATAGAGCAAAAACTCGCTTAACAAGGGCCTGACCTACGACCTGTATTCTAGTATATTGTTAGAAAGCTTCCCATTCAATGCTGTTGATTAGGGGAAAAAACATGATGAGACTTTGAAGGTTTGCACGCTAGAGGGAACCAGAAAGAATTAAAGATCAGTCTTAAAGAAGAGACCCACAAATACGACAGAATACGATAGAATTCAAGGATATTTGGGAACAATCCACCAAGGTTACTTTTAAGATGATTTACAGTCATAAAACTCAATTTAAACAGTGTTATGGAAGAGGAACAAGTTTTATTAGAGAAGGCTGTAACAGGCAGATTCGAAAGTAGATTTAAAAATGATTAATGATATGGAAAAAAAAGATGGATACACAAAAGGAACCAAGTCATGTCTTCATAATTAAAGGAGATGTGCAAATGAGAAACCAGAACAGCAACTTGGATAATGGATTTATAAAAGGGATGAAGGCGTTTCTGAAAAGAGAGGAAATGAAATTATATCAAGTTTGGAGACACTATTTAAAGGGATTAGTGAACAGAATTGTTAAAACTCCATAGACAACATTGTTAAGAGCAAAAGGAAGAGATATAAAGTTGGTTTATTTGGACAAAGCTAAAATATATGTTATTACATGGGTAGTACATAAAAAAAAAAATGTGACAAGCGAGTTAAAAGCTAGACAGGACCTAAAGCAGCATGGGATGGATTTAGAGTGGTGGGAATATTTACAATTACAAGTAAGGGATAAAAAGGATAAAAAAGAATGGGGAATTAACATGCAAGAAACAGTTTTAGACAAAATTCTGTTAGGATCAGAGGATAAATTAATAGGGAAAATTTACAAATTTCTGTTAGCCTATAAATTAGAGGAAGAATAGGTAAAGGAGTCTGTAGTGCTATGGGCCAGAGATTTCAGATACAGCATTAAATTGGATCAATGGCAAACAATATGGGAAATAAATAAAAAGATTTACCATGGCCACTGCATATAAGGAAAATTTGCTCAAAATGTTTTGTCAATGGCATCTTCCACCAGCCAGATTGGCTAAGATGTATAAAAGCCAGTCCCCAAATTGTTGGAAATGCTCAATGGAGCGGGGAACATATTACCATGTGTGGTGGAGCTGCAAAAAAGCACAAGAGTTTTGGCTCAGGACTGGACTCAGTGGCTGGAGGAAATGTTGGGCTTTAAACTAGATCATGTACCAGAATGCTTTCTATTAGGAATCATGTCAATAAAATACAATAAGGATAAGCTATATTTGACTATACCTATTATTACTGCGGCAAGGATAGCATTTGCCCAGAACTGGAAGGAGACAAACATACCGAGCGACAGACGAAGTAATAAACAAAATATTGATATGCACTGAAATGGACAAGCTAACTCTAGAAGTGAAAAATGAAGGTGAATCGGCATATTATGCAATTTGGGATAGATTCTACCACTGGTGGGAGCACAAAGGAAGGTCTTAAGTTGGGAAAGGAGTTGATGAGAGGGTAAATGAATGGATGAGATGAAAAGAGGACCAACGATGTTGGAAATATATGAGCGAACAAATGTATATATGTATATTTAAATAATTGTATATAGGAATATATATATATGTATGGTATCCAAGACCAATAAACACAGACCAAGACTCCCAACCAATCAGGATGAAGAAAAAAACCATTCTGGCACAGCAGTAGGCTAGCCCCAAATTTAAAATTGAAACGGCTGTGAAAGTCTGACTCACAGATGAACACAATACAGAAGTCTGATGATGGCAGATGAGATTCTGCCAAAACATTGCTACAACTTTAAAAGCACAACTATAATGACGTGGGAAAATACCCGAACAAAGCTGAATAATTAATATATATATATATATATATATGACTACAAATAGAAAAGTTGCAGAAGGACAGAGGGGCTAATTCTGGCTGGACAAGATTAAACCTTCAGAACAAATACATGCAGGTATTCCTCAACTTTCAACCGTTTGTTTATTGACCATTCGAAGTTACAACGACATTGAAAAAAGTGACTTAGGACCGTCGCTTTTTCACACCTACGACTGTTGCAGCATCCCTGTGGTCACATAATTAAAATTCGGATGCATGGGAACTGTTGTGAATCAATAAAAGTTACTAACATAAATGCAAATCAGGGTTTGGAAACCTGCACACCTGATTGGCCCCTATACAACAACTAGGGATTGGTCCATAAGTAGTCCCTGATTGGCCACTATTTGGACACTTCTCATTGGTTATAAGTTTGAACTTATTGCACATGTCATTGGTTAACAAGGTAGCAGATCCCTATAAAAGGGTTGCTGTTGCCCATAGCCTTGCTCTGTTCTGTTCTATTTACGATTATTAAAGAGTTGAAGTCACTGGTCAGATGTCTGGTCTCCATTATTTCCCAAACTTAACACTGGTGACGAAGGTGGGATACGGAGACCGAAGAGCTGACTGAGTTACAGAGCAACCAACAGAGCACGTGGTCGAACACGCACCATCAACGGCAACATGGCCAGCGGTGCCGTACCACCCGCTCCATTCAACCCAGAAACCGAAGACTGGGAGGCATACATGGACCGGTTCCAGATGTTTCTGGAGACCAACAATTTGAAAGATGCAACAACCGGCAAAAAAAGAGCTATCTTCCTAACTCACTGCGGGCCTACCGTGTTTAAAATGGCAAAGTCACTTGCCAAGCCAGCAGAGGTAAAAGAGATGGACTGGGACGTCCTCGAGCCCTTACTACGGGCTCACTACGCGCCCACCGTGCCAACCTTAGTCAGAAGACACGAATATTACCAGAGGGACCAACGGAAGGGCGAAAGCCTTGCCAATTACATCGCGGACCTCCGCAACCTTGGAGGCCTCTGCGGATTCACCGACTTAGAAGAAGCCCTCTGGGACCGCCTGGTTCTGGGCCTAGAAGACGGCACGATCCAGAGCAAAATTATGGCTAAGGGGGACATCAGCCTCAACGATGCCCTTAAAGAAGCCTCGGCAGCGGAGGCGACCAAGAAGTCGGCAGCCCGAATGCGCCGCACCAACGCACCGCTACGTCAACTCGCCAATGATACCTCGCCTCGCTCAGAGAGACACCCAGTATCGACTCACCACGAAGACCTAGAATCCCCATCAGAAAGCGATGAGGAAGAGGTCAACCGACTCCGAACGGAACGAGACCAGTTCACACAACCCTCATTCCGACCGTGTGCAGGATGTGGGGCGAATCACCCACGATCCAACTGCAAATTCCTCGACGCACTCTGCCGAAATTGCGGGAGACGAGGTCACATCGCAAAGGTTTGCAGAAGCAAACAAAACTCCAAACCCCGACAGGCCGAATGCCAATCTTCAGGATTCTTCAGCACACACCGAGAAAAACTGAACCACCAATGGGGAAACCACTCCTACAGAAACAAGCCGTCCACCACTTCCACCAGGTGTGAAGAAACCAGGCGGGAAGAGACCCACCAAACAATCACCATTGGCCACGCTACATCCCTTGATGCCGGGAAAATCCGAGTAAAGGTCGCCATCGAAAACAAACCTTGCGTGATGGAGGTAGACTCGGGATCTTCCCTCTCGATGGTGTCGTGGAAAACGCTCCAACAGCTCATTCCAACGATTCGCCGCCAAGACCTTAACCCTCAAAGGGTTATACTCAAAGACTATCAGGGCAACCGAATTCCCGTCGTCGGGTCCCGCAGATTCCAGATCTCTTTCAAGGACCGTACCGTCGCTCTGCCACTGACTGTCGTGGACCGCGACAGGCCTAGTCTTTTAGGCCTTCAATGGTTCAGGCCGCTCGGAATTACTGTAGCCGGAGTCCACCGAGCCGAGAGCAACGATTGGGAGGAAGCACTCGTGCAAGAATTCCAAGACGTTTTCGCGAACGGACTAGGCAAGTACAAGGGGACCCCGATCTCGTTTAACTTGAACCCTGAGATAGCACCCATCCGCCTTAAGCCACGTCGGGTGCCATTCGCCTTGAAGCCTAAAATC